TACATGTGTGTCATCAGAGGTGCTGACATTCGTGAAAGAATACAAAAAAATTTTTTTCAACCAGTGAGCATAAGGTCCATCTGTCCTCTCTTTAATTAGTTTTTTTTTTTTAAAGATTTTATTTATTTATTTGACAGAGACCACAAGTAGATGGAGAGGCAGGCAGAGAGAGAGAGAGAGAGAGGGAAGCAGGCTCCCTGCCGAGCAGAGAGCCCGACGCGGAACTCGATCCCAGGACCCCGAGATCATGACCTGAGCCGAAGGCAGTGGCTCAACCCACTGAGCCACCCAGGCGCCCTAATTACTGTTTTTTAATCAACTTCTTTTTCCTACCCTTTTTTTGCATCAGAAATAATTCCAAGGATTATTGCTATGCTGGATATCACCTTTGAGTGAGATTATGATATGTTAAAATTATAAAGTCTATGTGTGTGTATGTATTCTACATCTGTCTACATACCATTCATATGTAGTATATATGTGCACACATATGTGGTATGTACATAAGCATGTCCATATACATAAACTTACCCAAAAGAGGTGAAGCGTGTTGGGGACTTGAACACTAAAAGGCTGTGTCATTTTGACCAGCTATTTCTCTAATAACCCACCTTTTTTAAAAAATTATTTAAATTCAGTTAGTTAACATACAGTATATTATTAGTTTCAGAGGTGAAGTCAGTGATGCACCAGTTGCATATAACACCTGGTGCTCATTACATCACATGCCCTCCATAATGTCCATAACCCAGCCACCCCATCCCTCCCCCAACACCCCCCAGCAACCCTCAGTTTGTTTCCTGAGATTAAGAGTCTCTTGTGGTTTGTCTCCCTCTCTGATCTCACCTTGTTTTATTTTTCCCTCTCTTACCCTATGCTCTCTGTTTTTTTTCTTAAATTCCACATCTGTGTGAGATCCTGTGATAATTGTCTTTCTCTGATGGATTTATTTCGCTCAGCATAATACCCTCTAGTTCCATCCATGACTTTGCAAATGGCAAGATTTCTTTTTTTTTTTTTTTATGGCTGAGTAATATCCCATTTTATTTATATATATGTACATGCTTATGTACATACCACATATGTGTGCACATATATACTACATATGAATGGTATGTAGACAGATGTAGAATACACACACACACATACATACACACACACCCCGCATGTTCTTTATCCATTCATCTGTTGTTGGAAGTCTGGGCTCTTTCCATAGTTTGACTATTTTGGACATTACTGTTTATAAAAACTGGGATACAGGTGCCCCTTCAGATCACTACATTTGTATCTTTGGGGTAAATACCCAGTAGTGCAACTGCTGGGTTGTAGGGTAGCTCTATTTTCAACTTTTTTTTTTTTTTTTTAAGATTTTATTTATTTATGAGAGAGAGAGAGAGAGAGCGAGCACAGGCAGACAGAATGGCAGGCAGAGGCAGAGGGAGAAGCAGGCTCCCTGCAGAGCAAGGAGCCCGATGTGGGACTCGATCCCAGGACGCTGGGATCATGACCTGAGCCGAAGGCAGCTGCTTAACCAACTGAGCCACCCAGGCGTCCCTATTTTCAACTTTTTGAGGAACCTCCATGCTGTTTCCAGAGTGGCTGCACCAGCTTGCATTCTCACCAACAGTGTAGGAGGGTTCCCCTTTCTCCGCATCCTCGCCAGCATCTGTCATTTCCTGACTTGTTAATTTTAGCCATTCTGACTAGTGTGAGGTAGAACCTCACTGTGGTTTTGATTTGTATTTCCCTGATGCCGAGTGATGTGGAGCATTTTTTTCATGTGCTGTTGGCCATGTGTTATGTCTTCTTTCTAATGACCCATCTTAATTAGGCTGTGCCAGTAGTAGGAGGCAGTGTATAATACTTAGGTTTCTTAGAATCCTTAGTTTGTCTAATCACCACTGAAAAGTTTGAATTTCATTTCAGGCAGCAAATAGCATCAGTGGCTTTTCTTGAAGCATTAGGCTCACTTTTTTCATTTCTATAAATTATCTTCCACATGCTAAAGTCTGAAAAACCAGTTATTTTATTCAAATAAAAGTGGCATACTATGATAAAGTAGCTAATTCAGCTTTCAATTCAAATAAGGACTTTTTGGGGCACCTGGGTGGCTCAGTGGGTTAAACCTCTGCCTTCGGCTCAGGTCATGATCTCAGGGTCCTGGGATCGAGCCCCACATCAGGCTCTCTGCTCAGCGGTGAGCCTGCTTCCCCCTCTCTCTGCCTTCCTCTCTGCCTACTTGTGATCTCTCTCTCTCTCTCTCTGTCAAATAAATAAATAAAATCTTAAAAAAAAAACACAAATAAGGACTTTCCTTTGAGACAACCATCGTACTGTGGAATGCAGCAGAAATGCTTTATGTATTCTTCTCCATCATATAGTGCATTAATACAATATGTAGTCATGGGTTGTGAGTTATTGAAGTAATTTTTATTAGGTCAATAAGGACATTAAATGAAACTGGTATTTTTTTCAAAGTTGTAAGTGTATGCCAATGAAGAATACAATCACCCCAGTACAGTCTGAAATCTCTATCTTGATTCATGCTAAGGTGCCTTACCCACCATTGCTTTTGCACCACGAGTTAAAAGAGGCAAAAACAAAAACAAAACTTAACAAATAGTTTTGACTGTGTGGACTCCCTAAAAAGGTTTAGGCCACTAGGGTTCCATGAACCACACTTTGAGAAGCTTTGAGGTAGAGGCTTACTGTTCTTTTCTCTATCTGCAGCTCACATTAAAAAAGCAAACCCTGGGCACTCAAAATAAGCGAGGTTCTCTGAGTCCTTGACCAAGTTGCCTTCACAGGCATTAGTCTCTTAATATGGAAAATAGACAAGATAAGCCCAGGTCCCCCTAAGTATACAGGCCTTACTGTGAAGGAAACAACCAAAAAATCCGTCTGAGAATGTAGACCAGAGCACCAGTGCCGTCCTTGTTAGCGTTGCCACAGCGGCTGGATCGACTCACCCCAGATCTGATTTGGAGGAGCACTGCTCCACGCACAAGCATCGGAATCCACGTATTCAACAATACTGGTTTAGGGCCTCCTCCTGTTTGCCAGATACTGTGGTAAGTGATGGGAATGCAAAATAAAATAAGACAGCAGCTTCTGAAGCAGAACTTGGAGGCTAAGATTAGTGAGAGCCTCTGACTGTCCCTGAAACCTTCAGGACTAGGAAACATTTGGGGCAGTGAGGTTGTAATGATTCACTGAGAAGCAAAGAGGTCATGAAGTGTCGGGATATCAAACTTTGGACTAGTCTGAAATGTCAAAGACTCGAGGAATCTGCAAAGTTCTTTATTTAGCTTGTGCGGCTTGCCGGTAACATATGTTTTGAGAACACACATGTATGATTTATAGGATCTCCCTTCAAGAAGCTTGCAGCCTAGTGGTAGTAACAGAATGGAGTTAGGCAAGTTGGGTTTCAATAAAATGAGAAAATCATTAAAAAAAAAAAAAAAAAAAGTCAAGGGGTGCCTGGGTGGCTCAGTGGGTTAAAGCCTCTGCCTTCAGCTCAGGTCATGATCCCAGGGTCCTGGGATCGAGCCCCGCATCTGGCTCTCTGCTTAGCAGGGAGCCTGCTTCCCCCTCTCTCTATTTGCTTCTCTGCCTACTTGTGATCTCTGTCTGTCAAATAAATAAAATCTTTAAAAAAAAAAAGTCATCAAATGCTACACAGATGTCAAGCAGGTAGGTCCTAGGTGAGAGTGGCACTGGGCAGTTGAAATTTTCAACCTTGTGTTAAGGCATAAATCCAAAAAGAAGATGTATCTCTGCTTAAGGAAGTCAGCTAAAGCAGCAAGACAGAATGGGTAACGTAGTTTCCAAAGATAAACCACCTGTGAACTCAAAGAGGCTTGGCTTGGCTTGGCTTGGCTTGGCTTGGCTTGGCTTGGGACTGTTTACTATATAGCTGTTAATTCAGTATTCAGGAAGGAAAGATCCAAAACACAAGCAAAGCTTGGGAAATTGTCTGCCAATGTAGCCTTGCCCTTGCTCTTTAATGAGTACTGAGTAACAAGGACAGATGCAGAGAGCTAGATTACTGATTCCAAAGGTGCCAAACAGGAGAGAAATGTTATTTTTGTCTTTCATTGGCTACCCTTATTTGTTACCATAAGAAAAGAACATTCCTTCTCACAGTAGCAGGATGATAAACTTCGAGTCCCGGATCACAGTAAAGGCAGTGGGGTTGAGCCATGAGAAAGTACAACACAGACTAGAAGAGGATGGGCGTCTTTCCCCTTCTCCCCCAGAGCCTCAGGTGCTCTTATTCTTTTATCTTCTGTTATTTCGCTAGAGATAGACATTTCCAGGAGCAACTGATTTCTCATAGGAGAAAATCAGGATGAATTTGAGGTTCATGGTGAAAGATGAGAATACAGAAAATAGAAAAGTAGTCAAAAGCACAGGGACAAAAATGGGAGGCAAGAAAAAATGAAGTCCTTTCCAAAGTATCCCCTCCCCCTACAGCAACCACGACCAGGGAGATCTTCCCTCTTACATGACAAGGACTATGTGGCAAAGTGCTTAGCCTTCCCAGGGAGCAAGCGCTTTTCTTTTACAAAGAGAGATCAGTAAATAACACAAACCAGTGCTGAGATTGTACATAAGAGTTTAAGCAGCAACCCAGGATGGTAAGGTAAATAACAGAAACGTTTCAAAAGTTGGACTCTTTTCCCTCTAGCACCTTCCCCTTTTGTTTAGGGGGAGGGAGAGTCCAGGAAATAATGCTCTGTCCTGGCCATGGTCTCTCCGGTCCACATGCAGCCAAAAGGAACCCACTTATGGGGTAATAGTCAGTAAAGGACTTGCCTTTTCCATGAGGAAACCACGCTACTGGTGGTTTGTTTGTTGGTTTAATAAAACACTCAGACGCTATCACAACTCCTGGACAGATGCGGACTGTTTCTCACGGTTGAAGCGGCATCTCCAAGGCTGTCAGTGCAGTGTGTTGTGCACGCAGATGAACTAACCCACAACCTCTCCTTTCTCAGAAACATGATTCCGGTGACAGAGTTCCGGCAGTTCTCTGAGCAGCAGCCTGCCTTCCGGGTGCTGAAACCGTGGTGGGACGTGTTTACCGACTATCTTTCGGTGGCTATGCTGATGATCGGTGTGTTCGGATGTACTCTCCAGGTAGGTGCCCAGACTCAGGTCCCAGCGGAAGCCAGAGCAAGACGCTCAGCTATCGAAACCTCTAAAAAGAGCTGGCAGTGTGATTTTGAACCACGTAAGTACTAGTTGCCCTTCTCTACCTGTATATGGTGTTTGTAGTCACGGCAGGAAGCCCAAAACACATATTTATTGAATGTTCCTAATCAGGTAAATGGGGTACTTGTAAGATTTCACTGAGCCCAGATCGCCGTTGCCTGTGATCAAGTAATACTTGATGCCACTGACATCAAAGGGAATCCCTTGTCTTTCAGAGTTGGCTTTATAGGAAAATATAGTATGTACAGCCACAGTGTCACTTATATTGCCCGAATGGAAGCTTTTTCTTTACCTCTTATACTAATTCCTGATAGGATTTTCTGAAAGAACTAGCATTTTGAGAAGATAAAATTTTACCTACTGTTTAATTATTTTCAAAATATGTATTTACTTACTCGTTTTAGAGAGGAGAGAGAGAATGTGCACATGTGTGCACGTGTTTCGGGGGAAGGGGGAGAGGAAGAGGGAGAAAATCCCAAACAGGCTCCATGCTCAGTGCAGAGCCCAATGTGGGGCTCGATGTCATGACCCTGAGATCATGATCTGAGCCAAAATCAAGGCAGATGCTTAACTGACTGAGCCACCCAGGCACCACCCCCCAGATTTATTTCTGAATTAAAATGTAACCCAATCAAAATTTATTCTGTGTAGATGCTATATATTCATATATTGAATCCAGATGCTTTTGCTTACCTGTTATGTGCCAGGCACTGTACTTTAAGGAGATGCACACACACACACATATACATACACATACACAGTTAATGTCTCAGGTAAAACTAAACCAGCAGTTAAGTGTTTTACTATGATAGAGGGATATAAAACAGTAAGGGATTGCAGAGATGGGGCACTGGGCTTGGAGAAAAGAGAAAAGGGGATAATTGTATTAAAACTTGGAAAACCAGGGAGCATGGATGGCTCAGTCAGGTAAGCATCTGCCTTCAGCTCAGGTCTTGATCCCAGAGTCCTGGGGTCGAGCCCCACATTGGGCTCCCTGCTCAGCAGGGAGTGTGCTTCTCCCTCTCTTTCCTGCTCTTTCTTGCTCTCTCTCAAGTAAATGAGTAAAATCTTAAAAAAAAAAAACCTTGAAGAATCAGCGATAGTCAGGGGGAGGGAAGTGGGGGTTGAAAAAGGTGCCAAGAAGGACAAAGAAAGTTCTAAGTCATGGATGTTGGGAAGAACGTGATTTCTTTGGGAAATTGTCAGTAGGACTGACACCTGTTGGGTGTCATGAGTGTGAGAGTTGAAGCTATCTCTGCCTGTGAATGGAATCACCAAGGAGAATGTGGCAGGTGACATGATGTCAGCAGTATCAAAGCGAGAGTGAAGGAAAAAGGGGTGCCCCTGCAGGAGACTGAGAAGGGGCATCCACACAGATAGGTGGAAACCAAGAGAGAGGAGGGGCTCAAAAGTCAGGAAGATCGTGATGGTAGGCATACAGCTAACTCATGGACTAAGGAGAGAAAAGTGGCACATAGGTCATTCGAAATCATAATTTGAGTGGTTGGAAAAGTGAATAGAAATTAAAGACTGTGGGGTAGATGTGACTTTCAAGTAGATTAGCTGAGAAGAAGATAAACTTGGAAGAAAGGAAAATAACTAGAAGTGGTGCAGAATAGAAATAAAGGCCTTTTAAGTGTTGACTTTTAAGAGGTGTCTGGGTGGCTCAGTTGGTTAAGAAACCAACTCTTGATTTCGGCTCAGGTCATGATCTCAGGGTCATGAACTAAGCCTTCATCAGGCTCTGTGCTAGGTGTGGAGCCTGCTTAGCATTCTTTCTCTCCCTTTCCTTCTGCCCCCCACTTCTCCACCAACCTCTTTTAAAAAAAAGTTGATTTCAATAATAGTTACCACATAGTGTTTCCCAATTGTCAGGAGAGTTTCTGAATACTTCATACATATTTTAACTCATTTCATCCTCATGGCAACTGTAAGATGTAGGTACTATTATTATCCTCATTTCCAGTGAGATAACAAAGGCTCAGAGAGCTTAGGGAAACTTCCAAGGTAAATGGCAAAAACCCAGGCAGTTTGGCCCCAAAGTCTCTGCTTTTAATCTCTAAGCCCATGCTGCTTTTTATTTGTAGCCTAAAAACATTTTGCCCTTCCTCTGCCCCCCAGAAAGGATGCCAGTGAAAAACTAGAACTTGAGAGAAAGAACATATGTTCACTAGTAAATAAAACAAATGGTTGTTGAAGAAACCACGGTGTCCCAGGCACTGTCCTCGGTGCTCAGAATTACCAAGGCAGGAGGAAAAAGTAAAAGACAAATATCCCCGCCTTATGGAGTTTAAATTCTGTGGGAAAGCCAATAAGAAAAACCAGTTAGTGGATTATATGTTAGAATATTATATCATATCATATCATATTATATCATATTATATTATTATAATATTATATATTAGAAGGTAATAAGGACAGTGGAAAAGAAACGAGAGCATACGAGGATGGTCTCAGCAGGTAATGTTAGGAGTTGCAATTCTCAAGCAGGAAGCCTTCATTGGGAAGGTGACGTCTGATAAAGGAACTGGAAGAAGTGAAGGAGGAGGCCGGGCCAATGTCCAGGGAGGAGCCTCCCTGGAAGAGGGAAGAGCAAAAATAAGAGACGCGTGGACAAAGTGTTCACAGATCCCTTCCCCTTCTCCAGGAGAATTTGACATTTGACTTTCTCAACTTTCTAGCTCTGTTTCCCTGGAGACCTGATAAAAGTAGAATGTTAGCCGTGTTACTAGGCAACGGTGCTGATGGTAGAAATGACTGCTGTTTGGTCAGTTGCAGCTAGGCTGGAAGAATGACAGATGCCTGGGAGGAAGCCACACCACGGGACTTCTGTGATTGTGGGGACACCTATAACTGGGCAGGCACATCCCTTGATGCACCGAAAGGGTATCTATTGAGTTACAACAGATTATCAGTCCCTTTGGAGCATAAGGCTTTTAAGACAGGGTAAAGGCAGACCCCCACCTCCAGCGGATCTTTTTTCCTTGTGCCTGAGATGATCTGGGGAAGAGGGGCTTGCAATGAGGTCCTGGGCAGGGCGTGGACCATACACAGATGTGAAGGTTCTTCCAAAGGTAGGAAGCCTGATGCTGCTTTGCTGGCAAGCTGTGACTTACCTCCTGGATCTTGCTAGGTGATTCCATAGCCAGATGAGTGTTAGGCTCATCTTAGAGTCTGAATGTTGAGATGAACCTAGAAAGACCCCTGCTGATCCAGGCCTGAAGCAAGGGTGTCCGTGGAATGCTGAAGGAAGAGCCGCGAGGCCAGGGTCTGGAGCAGAGGGAGGGAGGGGCAGGGTAGAAGAATAAGGCCCGAGAGGCACCAGCTGTGATTCACGTAGGACTTTGTTGTCCCCTATGAAGGGTTAAGCCTTGCTCGGAGTGAGATGGGATATGTTTGGAGGTTCAAGCAGAAGGTTGTCAGATTCTGACTTGTGTTTCAACAAGACCGCTCTAGCTATTAAGAATACAGTATAAGGGGCAAGGGTGGAAGCCGGGGGATTATTTAGAAGGCCAGAGCAGTAATTCGGGCAGAACAAGAATCCGATGGCTTGTACAAGGATTGAAGCTGTGGTTCTGGATACATTTTAAAGGATAAGCACTAAGATTTGATGAAAGATGGAATGTGATATATGAGAGAAAAAGAATCATGACTAAGTTTTTTTAGGCCTGAGCATCTGAGAAAAATTTGTTTTTGAGCATAACTAGATATCCATAACTAGATATCCTATAAGACCGAGGAGTTCAGGGTGGGTGAAGAAGGATGGTCCTCTTCACGAAGAAGGAGGTGATGGATTCTGGTCCAGGTGGCAGGATAACCCTTGATTTGTGGAGAGGGTCTTCCACCCGATCTATGAGGAATGACGGCTACAGATGCGTTTTGCGGGGGGAGAGAGAGAGGCTTAGGATGATGAAAGCCTCATGGCTTCTGTGAGGTAGAAAGTGACACATCTGCAGGGACCTGGTGAGGTCAGGGGGGTGGCGGCATGTGGCAACAGGGAAGGCATGGAGTAGGGTCCTCCAGGAGAAGGGCAAATATTTCAAGTGGCCGGTTTGGGAAATAGGGAGGTGACATGGCCAGGAGGACTCCCATCTGTTTTACTTTATTACTATGTCACGGCGCCTCGCCCGGCCACAAGACCTACTTACAGAGCGCAGGAATCGTTTCTCTCATTTGTGTCCCCTTGGCAGGATGAAATGCAGGAAAGAGAAATCACACAGAGGGTCTATAAACACTAGTAGTTTGGGGCACCTGGGTGGCTCAGTTGGTTAAGTGTCTGCCTTTGGTTCAGGTCATGATCCCACGGTCCTGGGATCCAGCCCCACATCAGGCTCCCTGCTCAATGGGAAGCCGGCTTCTTCCTCTCCCACTCCCCCTGGTTGCGCTATCTCTCTCAAATAAATAAATAAAATCTTAAAACAACAACAACAACAACAACAACTATTAGTTTACTTGGAACAACATGAAAACAAGAGCATGAACCTATGAAAATGTCTATAATGAACATCATTTAAGAAGTGTGCCCAGGGACGCCTAGGTGGCTCAGTTGGTTAAGCAGCTGCCTTCGGCTCAGGTCATAATCCCAGCATCTTGGGATCGAGTCCCACATCGGGCTTCTTGCTCAGTGGGGAGCCTGCTTCTCCCTCTGACTCTGCCTGCCACTCTGCCTGCCTGTGCTCGCTCTCGCTCTTGCGCGCGCTCTCTCTGACAAATAAATAAATAAAAATCTTTAAAAAAAAAAAAAAAGAAGAAGTGTGCCCATAGGGGCGCCTGGGTGGCTCAGTTGTTAAGCATCTGCCTTCGGCTCAGGTCATGATCTCAGGGTCCTGGGATCAAGCCCCACATCGGGCTCTCTGCTCAGCAGGGAGCTTCCTCCTCTCTCTCTCTGCCTGCCTCTCTGTCTACTTGTGATCTCTCTGTGTGTG